GCAATACATCCAACTTGGCTCAAAGACAAACCCAGAAATAATTTGCACACACTTTACTTTTTTTTTTTTGTCTCACATGAGAATAAACTGCGCATGAAAAGGAAGGGGGCGCAGAGGGAGGCAATCTTGTTACGAGCCGGCGTAGCCCTGGGAAGATTTCTATCAGACACACGTAAAGAGAGAAGCATCCATTTAGAAAATGGCTTTTCTAGGCATGCTGGGCCATTTAGCACACCCTGTGACGACTCCTGTTTGGGGCAACGATAAATGTTCCTTCACACACAGTATGTGCACGCAGTCAGACCAGCACACACACACACACACACACAGCCATATGGGCAGCCAACACAAGGCATCTCTGGTAGTAACACTTTTAGAGCGAGACAGGCTCCGTTGGGTTTGGCTAACGGACACAACCTCACACACTTGTTGACTCGGTTGGTTTAAATACGAGGAACTTCACGTTTACAGGGCGCTGAACATCGAGTCGGTACTCAGAACCAAGGAATCGGTTCACTTAAACATGAGAAACTACGTCCCACTTTTAGGAAAACCACAACTGAGAACCACAAAGAGCTTCCTAACAAAACCAAAGCAGCTTTAGAGTTAATGAGGATTAGTGATCAAAAAAGCTTCATCAAAATCTTGTTTCCATTTAAAAACTAAACATTATCAGGACGCATCATCAACTTTTAACATTTTGCTGTTTAAATTTATAAATTTGCATTTATTACTGGAAAAAGTGCCACTTCCTCTTAAATCGCATTCAGCGCTTATGTTTTAAATGTATCAAAGTTACAGATTTGCACCAATTGCAACTTTCCAGCCTGATTCTAACTTCAGATTGTTTTATTAAAAATTAATCCGCCCGTTTCTATTTAAGTTAATTTGGGTTCCTGTCTCTGAAAACGGAATAGTTTTATTTAATTATTGCAATTTACTGTGTGTAAGATTGCAAAGGACCTAACAAAGATGGAATATTTGTAATGAAAGCTGCATAAAAGCTCTGGTTTATAGTTATATGTGTGGCCTCTGGGATGAACTTTAAGTTAATATGGAGGTTTGTCAATATCCTCAGTTATTCCATCAGGGATATGAATAATTGTGGACTTAATTGTAGATTTTAGCAGCAATAATAATCTGACTAATCTGCCTTGCTCTTCTATTTTTTACTTTAATATTCCTATCACAAGTCTTTTCTTCTCAGAAAAGCCCTAAAGCAACACATTTTGGGGGAAGCAAATGTCAATTTTTTGCTAATGGTTGAGAAAACGTTTTCATGTTTCAAGCTAACAAAATGTTTTTAAAATGTCACCTGCTACCTTCCACATCTGCAGTCCAACATGTCCAAACCAGCAGCTTTTTTCACACCTTGTAGCTCAGAGATGCATGATTTCTATCGAACAGAGTCAAGACGCCTTCACCTTGAAGCCGTGTTACTTAGCCAGTCTACTCCTCAGCACTAATCAGCAGGAGAACTGAGAAAAATATTTACACACACTGCGAAAAGCAAACATTTTGACAGGTAAATTCTCCGCTCTTCTGTGTTTACACTGGATAAGTGCTAAAATCAACCTTGCTATATCAGACACTCGGAGCGTCTGCCTTATATCAACTAATGGTCATTACCCTTTCCACCGGGACGAGCTCCGTCCGCTCTCCTCCTCCTCTCTGGGATCCATCAATGTCGCCGCCATACGACCGGCTATTACACAACCCACTGTTACTGCTAGCATTAAAGCCACAGGCGTCGCACGGGCCCGATGAATCACACTCACCCAAACAGCAATAATGAAGCATTTATCTCAGGGTGCATTACAAACCCTGGAAGCATGGCAAATGTGCACATGGCAGAAGTACGATGAAACAGTGTCAATAACATGGCGCTGCACCATCTGCTCTGCCACAAGACGCACATGTTACACAGAAACTGTGATACTGGAGACACAGTAAAACCAAATCTGCACTCCGGAGAGTCTGCCCATCTCATGAATTTTATTTGGTTCTCATGTGTTTTTATCTAAAAGAATAAAAAAAGTGGCAACACTTTATCTGAAGGGGTGAGCATATGACTGACACGACACCGTCATAAACCGGATATAACATTCAAGACGGAGTCTTAATGAATGGTTATGACTGCTGTCATAAACATTGTAATGCAAGGCTGACACTTTTAGTGAACTGCATGGTTTAGTACAACTTTGCATTAAAAGTGTCATCATTTACCGAATGACACTTCATGACAGTCAGAACCATTCATAAAGACACATAACGTGTTATAACATCTTTATTACATTGTCATGTCAGTCTTATACGCACTCCTATGTTACCCAAACTGTTCCTCTTAAAGGAAAGCTAATCAAGTGTTTGTTTCCAGTTTCCATTTAAAGAGCAAATATTGATACATTTTAAATATAGAAAACATTAACATTTTAAAAGTTACGTCACTATCGGCCTTTCTGTTTGTGTTCAGAAATGTTATAATTCACTTTTCAGAAAAAAAAAACAGTCTCATAAGTGAACCTCTCTAACAGAAAATGCTTCCATATATGGATTGATGGCAGTGAATGTAACCGTAGTTTGATGAATATTATCACTATGAGGCTAGACATATAAAGAAAATTTCTTATATTTAGCAGAAATGTGTTAATACTGATAACATAAAAAGGCTGCAGCGACCACCTTCACTGTGAAGATCATCTCTGCAGCAAACATGGAGGATCTCTGAAGAAAATGTCTCTCCACTGAAAACTGTAACTGACCGATTGCCGATCTTTAAAAAGCCTGACCTGATGATTCTGATTTTGGCTGATACTGATTTTTTTTTGTGTGTCTGAAATGTTGCTAAATGTAGCAAGAAAGTTGCTGAGTTGGCAACGGAGGGGTGACTATTGTTAACTGCAGACATGACCTGGTAGCCGGTCTGTCAGTCAAACCTCTGTAAAGGCAGAGCAGAAGAGGACAGTGGCTGATTTTTAGATCTTTCCCAATGTTGATAAGATCTGTGGATAAGATCAGCTTCACATGTAAGCATCGGCCGATCACCAATTTCCCAAAATTAAGGAAATCGGCACCAATAAATTGGTGCACCCCGAGATACAGGTACTGCATTTCCAACAGGAAGTCAACAGCCAGGCCAGCAAGGCATGAAATTAAAAAAAAATACACTTTCTTTTACAATGATTCTTAATTTTATGTGTTTTCTGAGCAAAAAAGATGACATTATTTCATGTGCTCACTCCTGTTTCTCCTTGTTGTTTCATCCCAACAATTAGCTGCTCAGTCGCTGAGCCACTTAGATTTTAACGACCACACGTGAAGTTACCTTTAAGGCCAAATGAAATGACACAATTACTGCAGGCAGAGTTTGAGTAGCATGATAAGTTGTGCTGTAGTAGTAAATGTTTGCCACTGGAGTGCAACTAAATCCTAACAAGCAAAATCTACTCGTTATGTGGAGAAAAGTGAGACTGAAGAGGAATTCAGTGATAATTGTTTGCAGAAATAGGAAGAGCGATATCCTTTTGAATCATGTCAACAATGCTGGTCAGAACTGGAGCAGAATGTCAGTATCTAACCCAAATGCTGCTGAAATGTCCATGTTTTAAGTCAGAGTTTTCCTTCACATGGTTGAGGATTACATTCAGGTTGTTTACCTTAAAACAGTTTTAAATCGCTCAGTAGGGATCCGACTTGCTGGGAGTCAAACCTTCTGAACCGAGCCAGCAGTTCTTCTTCTTCCCAGAGAATAACTGTCACATCAATCTTTACTTTATGAACTTAAGCAGGAGACTTTGCCATCACAGCACAGCAGTTTTAAAAAAAAAAAAATTTGGCATGTTTTGATTTCTATAAAGGTTTACCTACCAGGCCTGTAGCGATACACTAATCTCACGGTACAGTATAATATGCGATATTCTGCTCATAGTACGATATATATCATGATATTCAGCAAACGATACGATATGACACATTTTTAAAATTTTCTGAAAGATTTTAGAGTGACAGAGTGATTTTGGTGACATTTTGTGGCCGTCTCATGGACTTGGGTTGAATTAAGTGAACTGATGGTGTAATCAATGTTGTTTTTGTTATACATGTGCTTTGTTTAAACATTAATTGTGTGGCTATGTGTATTTGGTTATGCAGAAAATGAAGCTTTTTGCCTTATTCACTTATATTAAGTAATGTAATTTATCTATTTCATTATTTAATTAATTGTAACCAGTTGTTTCATTACATGCCATTTTTAATGTACATGTGCAACTGGGTAAAAAATGTCATGTGTGATAGCTGTCGTGGATTTGACATAAAACGCAAAGATTTAATGTTTCGATACTCGCAGATGAAAAATTGATACTTTGAGGAATCTATAAAATTACACAGCCCAATACCTACTTTATGATTTCATCATGGAAATAAATCTAACTATCGTGAGCTGCAAACCTGAACATAATTTGTAATAAATTACACCTTTAAATCTAAATTTTGAATGTGTATTTCTTGTAAAGTTCAAATGCAGACACAGTTACTACATTCATCCCCAAAGCTATCCAGAAGTTCAGACAGTGCAATAAGAAGAGCAACAATCGCAAAACAAAAAGCACTGTAATTAAATTTAAGTTAAATTGAACCAGAAATCAAACTAATAAAAATTAGAGCTGAATGTCATATGTGCTAAAATAAGAGAGTATTACAAGAGATTTACCAATCGATTGACTGACTTTTATAAACGGTTCAAACACTGAAAGATCAGTTTTTTTGTGTTCACTAAATGCATCAGAACTTAAAACGTCCACCATTTTCTGTCGACTTATCATTAAATGAAAGACAATCTTATAAAAGTTAAAGGCATTTGCTTGTAAATAAAGATGAAACAGCTTGTTGTTTTCTGCTTGATACTCACACACACATTCATGTTGTACAACCAAGCCCAGAGGAATCTGATTAATAATGCAAGCAAACGCAGCTCGTCACATGTCCGCGTGACGTCAACTTACCGATCTCATCTGCTGAGCTCCGGTAACGTGCTGAAGAACCTTTTCCAGCTCCTTCTCAATGCGTCCGGCCCAGTGAATCATCCTGCAAAAAAACAAAAACCACAACACGTCCCTCAACATCTTCATCTGAACAGGTTCTCACACAGTTCTCTGTCACTACGGATGAATAAACGAGTGAGTGTCTGTCCCAGTGTGTTCTGCTGGAAAGCTGCCACAGTCTGTGCCAATGTTTCCAGATTCCTATCTGGACGAATCCTTGTGCTAATGTCCAACTTTCTCATCAGCACCTCCTTCGCCCATCAAATCCTGCATACATCTCTCTGGTTGGGACTGGCAGGACCGGCGGCGACTGAGCCCGTCTTGGATCTCCGGCTTCGTAATAAAATTGCTGGGGTCTGACAGAAGTGCACCCTAGGCAGGAGCTGATCTCCGTTAGACGGAGCCAAGTTGGGAATTAAGAGATCAAACGCCTGGAGCTCATCACTGTATATCTCTCGCAGAGCAACAAATGACTTAATGGAGCCAGATTTAGATCATTTTAAAGCAAAGGAACCAGCCTGGCAACCTGGATGTGAGCTGCTCAGCCCGCAAAACGGTTTAAAAGCTTTCAGCAATCAGATGGATAAACTCTGTCATGCGTTCACCGTCCAGCCACCGGCTGCCAACCTTTTGAAGATAACCAATCAGTCGCCTCAACGTCTCAACACAATGCGGTCGCTTGTCTGTTAATGCGATGACAGAAACAAATGTCATCTTCAAATGTCAGATTTGCTCAGAAGATGAGAAGGAAGAAGGCCGAGTTAACAGAATGCAGAAAATCGCCTTGCTGCCAAAAGTGGGGAGTGGGAAGCAACAGATCCAAACATGGAGGCGGTTTGTCTGTGTTTATCACACAAGTCATGGAGAAAACAAGAGGTCTTCCGAGTGAGAGTGTTCACTGTGAAAAGGCCAGAAAACAGGCAGGATGCTGCGAGTCCGGGGCAACACCTAGGTCAGACGGTCTTTAATACGCTTTAGATCCAACAATCAATTAGTCAGACTGGGATTTGCTAATTTTCCCATAATTACCTCTGAGTGATGGAAAAAAGATCAAAACTAAGATCGACTACCATTTTCAGCCAACAAATGTGTCAACAAACCATCTGAGCCAGAAAAATCCTGATCTCTGAGTCTCTGCTTTAATTCATCATTAAATTAGTTATTTTAAAAAAACAACTTCTTAAACTAGAAGGTCAGTTTCAAACATGAAAACTGCTGATCAAAATTAATAGTGGTTTAAATGAATGAATGAAAAATGCTCCCAACTGTTTGGCTCTGATTATTGATTGGCAGGTCAATTAATGATAAATCAGATTTAATTAAATACATGAAAACTAAACATGCATTTAATGAACATTTTATCATTCATTCATATTAGTTGAATTCAAAACAACTAATTGTGATCATGTGGTGCTGATATTGATTAATTTACAACACTTATCAATTTGGTCATGTTGATTATTAATCTCAAATATATGGTGGAAAACCAAATGAGTAGAAATGAGATGTTTATGAAATCCATCACAACTACAAACTCAACATTTTGGTCTAAAAACTCGACAAACAAGAACTTTGATCCACTTCCTGAATTTATGGTTAGGGGCGTGAGTTTTGAAAAAAAAAATATTATGCAGCGTTGATTCAAAACAAATTTCTGAACATAAAACAAACATAAAAACAGAACCGACACAGAGACGTTTGCTCAGTAGAATTCAGTCAAATAGATATATATTCAAATTTGATCAAAGAAATAAAATAATTCAGCCAAGTTGAGTTTACTCTTCAGATTTATAAAAAACTTTCTACAAGCACGTGGCGACAGTGGAAAGGAAAGTGCCATTATAATGAACTTTATAAGGAATGATGAGAGTAATTCTTCAACTTTCCACTGGATTCAAAACTCATACATCTATCATAGAAGCTGCAGATCATTTTTGTGCTGCAATCTACAAAATGAAACTCTGGAATTGGTCAAAATGGAAATCAGCAGGTCAGACTTTAAAGAAAACTGAAAACTCAGTGGCAATGCAGAAAAGTTTACATTTATAAATATCTAGCTGGCTAGAGAACTATATTCATCCCTAATGCTATCCAGAAGCCCAAAAAGAGCAAAATATTTAATAAAATGATCAATAATAACCTCAATATAAAGGGGGTGTTACACTAAAAGCATTGAAATTAAATTTAAACCAGAAATCAAACTAATCAAGCTAGTAAAAATTGGAGCTATGTCCATGCATTAACCCACGTTGTAAGAAAGACAAAATAGAAATAAATACACAAATCAGCTGATTTGAGTTTTATAAATGGTTTAAAGTTCAGTTTTTTTCTGTTGGCTAAAAATGCATTTTCTGTCAATGAGTGTGTCACCAACAGCCTGCACTTTAATAGACATGTTATAGCTAAATAAAATACATTCCTATGAAGGTTAAAGGCATTCAAGGCACAGCTGGATTAAAAAAAAAAAAAAGCCTGCCACACTTTATTTTTCTCATTTAATTCTTGGATGAAAATCTCAGAAGAAGTTAAGATCCAAATTGGTCGGGAAAAGCTCGACTGCTGCATCTCCAACTACAGGGAGCATCTGAACCGCCGGGGGAAATAAGCAGTCAAGTAATATCTGTTAAAATGTTCCTTTTCCAAACTACTTTATCATGACTTCTGAGTTTTACTGGACTAAATCGAATGAGCAACACATCCTCCAGTCTCAGATGTGCAGAACTCCAACTACAGAGATATCAGGACACGGTTGTTTAGGAAATTATATGCACTACTGGGGCCCGATGCTGAACGCACGCCTTTAGACCTCGTGTGTAATGAAAGCTGTGTTATCTTTCTTTAAAACAAAGAAGTTTTCATGGTTCAGCACTTTAAAGCCGACTGCCTGCTCTCTGCCTCTTTCTAGTCTGATGTAGTTGTAGAAACGCCGCCATTTGTTCCCCTGCGTTTTTGATGTTTTTCCCCCCAACGCATGCTGATGTATGCCCGGCCCAACATTACGGGAAAGCAGAAAATGTGATGAAATGAGTTCGGATGGGAGACCTGTGTGCCGGCAACATGCTATCACTGTGTCCATTCTGCTGCGATGGATCTCATCACTCGCGCTGCCACACTCAAATATCTATTAGGGCAGGAGGTTGACTATTTTTTGATGTGTGGAAATAACATTTTGACAAGATTGCTGTTGATATTTTACCATCACTGGAAAGATTTACTTTCTGGGGAGGAAAAACTGCTATCAGAACCGATTTCTCCACATCATTTAAACATATAGAAACTGCTCCCTCCCTCTGCTAGAAACACACTGAAGTATAAACTGAAGCATTACCACAACGCAATTTGAGTTCTCAGAAAATGCGAGCACTGCTGGGAAATTAAGTGTGCCTTCAAAACAAATAAGAAACTCAGATAGGTTGGCTCAGAAGCTGCACACACACAGACACACACATGCTTCAATTATGTAGCAAGTTCTGGCAAACGTAATGTGGGTGACCCAAAACCCAGTATAAAAACCCCAAGAGGAAGCTGAATATAATACAGACTTAAACAAGGGCACCTTAGACCTGAAGGGAGGGAGGCATAAGATGTTCAAAAGAAAAAGGGAATCGACTCGGAAGCTCTTCACGCAACAATTGAATGACATAAATTTCCTGCGCCACCTTTTTTCATTGGGCTTAAACAATCAAATCAGCGATCCAGCTAATCTGAGTCAATGGCACTGAAAGTCACCTTGGACATCAAACTAACAAACCCCTGGATATTTTCACCAGATAATCCAGCAGCATGCATCAGGAGCCACTTAAATATATTTTTATGTCTCTGACATCAGAAACACTTTCATCAAATGTCCTCCAGAGTTCAGCAGCTGATGCACTTTGAGGGATTATTACTGAGAAAAAGGAATAAATAAATCTAAAAAAATAAAAAAAAAGATATGTTGTGTTGGCATCAGTCACCTCAGAAACGTGGTAATTAGATTATGCTTTAATCAACCAATGTTCATCCTTCATTTTGTCAAGGAGAAGTAAATTGGCTTTGCATTTAGCTCAGTTGTCGGGACTGTTTCCCAACAGGTGCGCTGCAAAAGTCAAACTTCAGTTTTCCTGCTTCAGTTTCAGGTTTTACTGACAATAAACCATCATCTTCATGAACAGTTGGCCTCATCAGAGCGCCTGATTTTCATAATATCCATGCATGTTGAGTTTCTGGTATAGTTTAAAACATCAGTTTTTACTTATACTCTGTTATTCCCACTGTGTGTGTATGTGTGTATCTGTGTGCGTGTTATCCGGAGGACTTTAAAGCTTAGGTCGGATGTTCTCCCAAATGCAGAGTCAACCACACAAATTTCCATTTTCCATTTCATCTCCCTATTAATATTTCTCAAAATCCGCCTCCAGCACGTGTCTGTGCACCACGATGCCATATTTACAATTATTCTCAGCATCGGTATTAGATGTCTCTATATCACAGGACGCGTGGGGACTGATGTTGATCTCGCTGCATCAAACGGAGCATCAGGAAACATCAGATCCTGCGAGGTAAACTGCGCTGCGCACACAGCCTTGTTGGGGGCCACCTGTCCTACTTCAGCCCTCCCTCTCCCCTCCTACCCTTACACCTAAACAGCGCTTAGTACTTACGTGTAGTGCTGTGGGAAGTGGTGGGTCCCGGCTGTCGGTGTGGAGACGCATATAATAAGTACAGTTTGTACGGCGAAGAGGCAGAAAACGCCGATCGACTGCGCGCAGATCGCCATTTTCCATTAAATATTCAAGAAACTGGGAGAAATAAGAGAGAGTACCGGAAGGACAGACAGTCTCCCCCTCTCTCTCTCTGTGTGTGTGTGTGTCTCTTGCAGCTGAGCTAAGAATAAACCGAGCTCCGGAGGAAAGTGAGCGGTAGGAGGTGAACGGTCGCCGGACGCTTCTGGACACTTCAGCCCCGCGCTGTGAGGGGCTCCGCCGGAGGCGCACACGCCACGCAGAAATTTGGCACCAAAATAAATGATAGAAGCAGACTCAGGAGGCGAGGATCGGGGGAAAGATGCTCAGCCGCTGTTGCTGATGTGCCCGCCTGGCTGCTGCCTGTTCGCGCACTCGCTGTCCTCCCTCCCCTCTCTCTTTCTCTCTCTCTCTCTCCCAGCTAAAGCGCACATTCGCTCCCTTTTTTCTCCTCCGTCTTCTCCAGTGCAACAACAGCCATACACGGTGAAGCTCAAAGCGCCGCCACTGTTCCCCATTACGCTTTCAAAATAAAACCATTTGTAGTTTCTGGTGCAAAACGTCGCACTAAAGTGACTGCGCGCAGCCCATTGCGCACTGCTTTTCCCAGAGAATGTTTTTTAAAACAACTTAATCCTCTCTAAATTATGATGACGTTAAATTTGACTGCGCACTTATTTTACGACATTAAATGCGCAAAGCGAGTTTGAGAATTGCGTCTTTTGTTGACTCAGCTTTGACCTCAGTTTTTTTTTTTTTTTTAATTATTTTATTTTGTAGGCCTAACTTCCTGTGTTCCACCCTCTGGCTCACTTGATTCATCTTTTGGCACATCAGAGGTCCTTCCTCCTTCACCAAGCGGCCCGTTCCTGTGCGCTCGACGGGGGCGCGCATCAGGCCACCTCCTCCTGACGTCCCCCTCCTCTTCCTCCCCCTGTGCCTTCTTCACAAACTCTGGATTAGAGGCAGAAATCAAGGCTTTATTTTGCTAATTAGAGGCTCGACTCTGGAGGGGCCCGTTGTATTAACTGGAGTGTAAACATTCAGCAATCACAGGCTGATCCGCAACTACATTTGTTCTACTTATTGTCGCATCTGGTCCAGTGAACGAGTTTGAATGGATGCAAAGAGAATTAATAACGTTATTTTGGAGCTGAATGCGAATGTTTCATTCTTTTAAAAGGAGGAGATTTGTGTTGAACGGATGAGCACAGCTCACATGTTTGGAGTGCCTACAGTCAGGCCTGTCACAATAAGCGATAAGTCAATTAATGATAAATTAAAACAAATCAATTTCCATTTTCGAAGATTTTTATCTTTCTACCAAAACCCAGATGACAAAACTCTTCAGTCTGGTGTTTTGGTTTCAACTAGATCTTTTTTTGAAGGATAATTTTATTTACATAGACATCATAATTCATTGTATTTATTTCTGTTTTGTTTATTTTTTTAATGTCTTGTGTTAAATATTCATTAGAATTTAAAGTTGATTAATCGTTGAGAATCTGTTATTGCATTAATAAGCCTTTACTATTATATTACTTGAAAATAATCTCAAAAACAACAATATTATCGTTTATCACGATAACTTCCGGGACAATTTATCGTCCAGCCAAATTTGGCCGACCTATAGTTCATTCTGCCATTTTACTACACAAACAGAGCAGGAGAAAATGATCCATAAGGGGAAATTATTTTCAACATTTTTGCAACTGAACCTTTAAAAAGTTTCCCAAGGGTTTGTACACAACACCCCTCAACTGTGAACGGTTTTTGGAGGAGCTTTCATGTTCAAGTCTTTTTAGATATGTCTGGACCAGCTTTGTCCATCTGGACAGACTGGATTTAGGTCTGGACTTTGACTGGGCCGTTATTCTATGCTTTAATTGAAATTATGAACCTTGTCCAGGATCCTGTGCGTCGTGACACGTCGTGTTTCACATCCAGGCCGAATGCTACATTTTGTTCCCCAATCAGAGCATCTTTTATTTCCTGGGTCTGCTGCGTCCACCAATTTCTTCTCATCATTGTCAAGGTTAGTTTTTTGACCCAGATGCAGAAACCACTGTGAGAGCGTAGTAAGGTTTGGACATTTATTAAATAAATAACAGGAATCTGTTTTGGCAAGGTCAGTTCGTCTGAAAGGATGAGAGGAAGAGATGTTAGCGAAGCGGCAGGAATAATGGAGGAAATGTTCTGAGGATGAGATCAGAGCCGGCTTATGAGAGGTAACAGCGCAGAGGTGGAAGATCCTGTTGGTTCAGAGGTAAGTGAAGTTGTTGATCCAGAGGAGATGCATCACCTGCTTGTTGTCAGGTGATGTGTGGGAGAGGAATTCACAGGTAGACGGAGCTGCAGGCAACGACCAGAGGCTGAGCTTCTTACTGGGAAATATGGAGACTTTGGTGTTGGTTTAATGGACACTGGAGATGTGGAGGAAGCAGAAAGCAGAAGGCTTCAGAAAGTAAGGATGTGTTTTGGATAGATGGTTAATTTTCTTCAGTTTGGGAGATCGGTGATCGGCCGATACTTGAATATGAAGCCGATCTGATCAGGTGGAAAAATCATCCACTGTTTGACAGACTGACCCACCAGCTCATGTCTGTACTTTAGTTGCTCCACTGTTGCCAATTCAGCAACTTTCTCGCCATATGTAGCAACATTTCAGCCCCCCCAAAAAATGGTATAAAATCGGAATCGGCAGGGCAGGCTTCTTAAAGATCGGTAATCGGCCAGAAAACTGCAATCAGTGCTATCTGCAATCTGCTACTTTCTTCTTCTACAACTTCCATTATTTACTGTTATATATGCAAGCTTTATATTTTCTCTCATTTTTCTTGTATAACAGCTCCATGTGGTTTGACACATAATTTGTTGTGAATTGGCACAGTATAGATAAACTGTATTAACTCTGGTAAGACATTTTCCAGAGCCGATCTAAAGAAACAGAGAAAACAACATGGAGCCTGAATGTTTGGTTTGATTCCACCAGTTCAGATCGGCCATCAGACACCGAGTGGTCGTCACGCAGCTCCTTATGGACTCAGGCTCTCACACCTGAGAGCAATCAGCTGCATCGGGAACGCCCACCTGTCCCTGGAAGTGGAGGTCAATACACACGCACACACACACACACTCCAATCATGAAGCGATCAGAGGATGAGAGGGAAAATCTAAGTCTTCAAAAACATGCCTGACTTATCAGATTTGTACATGAAATCATGTGTAAGCCTGTCACACTAAGCAATAAATGAATAAATTGCACAATAAATTTAAATAAGCTCAATAATTTCCATCATGATTGATATTTTTTAAAGAGGAATTTTGTTTATGGAGACGTCACAATCCAGTTCATTTATGGTTTTGGTTGTGTGTGATTTCTATTTTAGAATATCCAAATTGTCCAACTTAATCATAACATAATCTGTAACTAATAATGTAAATTTTAAAAAGTAAATAACCCAGTGTTGTGCTGGTAGGAGCCACCAGAATCGGAATCAGAGGAGGTTCTTTTGTTTTTTATTTTTTTGCATATGAATACGACATGATGCTAAAAATAACTTAGGATTTTATTTTTATGTCCCAGCTGTCCTCCTGTAAAAGCTGCGGACTGAAACGCATGAGGCCTTCCTTGGGGGTTGACTGGAGGAGTCTCATCTCGCAGCGCGTACGGCGGCGGCGGAGAGGCAGCGGCCGCGCCGACCTCGACTCGGTCAGTCAGCAAGGAGGCACAACACAGGTGCTGCGCAACAGAAAGCCACGCAGCAGTCAGCAGGGTTGCTGCGCTGCATTTTTGTGCCCTCAGTGACAAGAAGAAGAAGAAGGAGGAGGAAGAGGAAGAAGTAGTTTCGGTAGAGAAGCGCTGTGGGGCACGGGCCTGCGTCGGGACAGGGAAACCTACCTGACGGGAGGCGGACGGTGAGATATCCCCCTCGATGTCACGGGTCGTTCAGTCAAAACAAATCTGTCTGCTTTCTCTCCCGGGGTTACGGGACCAAGTAAAATCTTCAATTCCTAAAAACTGCGAAGTTTGGAGACATATTGTGCAAGACTCTCCCTCCAGACAAATGTGGCAAAGAGACAGGACAGAGTTTTGTTTTGATTTATATGAGCTTCCTAAGCTGAGGGAAATAGCCCTAATTGATGGCTTCTTTCACACATTAATTTACACTCTGTTACTTCCCATCACCTTCCTATCACATAAATGATGGCAGCAAGCAGACTCTGGCTGAGCGATGGAGCCTCCAGTGAGGTTGACTCACACTTAATTTTTCTGCTGAGTCACACCCATTGTTCTCTTCCTCTTTTTGTTCTCAAATTTGCACAGGGCAAACTTTTATCTAAATTTACCTGCAGCTGCGACAAAGATAATCAGGCTCCAATTTAGCGTTGAATAAGTAGCTTTTTGTCTTATTTAAAGAGCGATTCGGTTTCTTTTTTCCAAGCCAAGCAAACAAAACACCAGGGGGTTGAGAGTTGGCCTCCTGGTGGAAAAGAGGTAATAATCCCAACAACGATGCAGGCAGAGGTGGGTGGAGCACCCAAAAACTGAACTCGGGTAAGAGCAGCACTACTTTAACATCTTTATTCAAGTAAAAGTAAAAGAATATCTGCTAAAAAGTCTTCTCAAGTGAGGCAACAATCATTTAATATTTAAAAATTACAGCAGCAGAAGAATCAAAATATAAATGTATGTGGAAATGTTTGTATTTTAAAGACTAAAACAAAAATAATTCACTTAAATATCATAATTACTAAATAAAATCAGGCAAAATATTATGCAAACGAGGTGAAGATAGGACACTTTTTCTTTTTACAACTTTATAAGTTTTCAATACAAAACTAACAAAAACTGCAGGTGTGTGTCTGGTGAATGTTTGGTTGAAACATGTTTGTTCATTCAGTGAAGTTATTGTGGGTAAAGTATCCAGAAAGTTTACTCGAGTAAGAGCAGCGATACTTTATAACAAAGTTACTCAAGTAAACATAAATCATATAAAATACTCCTCAAAGTAAATTTTTCCGATATTATCTAGTTATTGTAAATGTGTCTAGTTACCAGCCCGCTGTGTGTGACTGGAGCGCTCAGAGGTCTGAGATCTGGATCCCAGTAACGCTTTAGGGAATCCACTCTCCATTGCAGCTGATTGATCCGACCCGTTTAGAGATCCGCTCAGTGAAAACACAGAGATCAATGACGGCTGAGTCCTACAAACGATCAGTGGGTACACTGCAAAACATCTGAGCCGCATTTAGTTGTGTTTAATGTTTTCTACTCTTTAAGTCAAATAAATTTAGTGAGTTTTAGATTTTGAACCTGAATGTGAGTTTGTGAAAGATAAACTGACAGTAGCAAGTTGTGTTAACTTTTTATTAATCGTGTCAAACCTGCAAGAATTTTTATGTTAGCACTTAAAAAACTGATAGAAGAAAAAGTGGAGTGGGAACTATTTCCCAGAATGCTTAGCGTTTTGTTTTTGATTCCTGAGAT